CTCTGGCAGGAGACTGGTGCCAGGCTCTGGAAAGCAGCAGCCTGCGCCTGAGCCGCACAGCCCGTCTCCCCTAGGAACACGCACGTACTGCCCGCCCCAGTGGATCGGCCTTCACTGCTACCACGGCGATGGGGCGACCATCTGGTCCCTGGGCGTGCTGCTGTTGGAGATGGTGTGCAGGTTCCTGCCCTTCGAGAACGAGCGTGACATCGTGTTGGGGCAGCTCTTCTTCCCGCAGGAGGTCTCTCCAGGTTGGTACGCGGCCTGAAGCAGGCAGGCTTTCGCAGGTGGCACCGTGCAGCCCAGCCCGGCCCTCCCGCAGCTTCGTGGGATGTCCATGTGCCCTCAAGGGCCGGCTGCAGCAGGTGGCCCGTGGCAGGCTGGGTGTGGCACGCTTGGCTGAAGGAGGGGATGCTTGTCCTGCCGTGCCGCTCTCCCGCCAAGGGCAGCTCCGAGCACATGCAGCGTGGCCCGGCTTCTGCAGGTGTCGGGAGCAGCTGGGCAGGAGCCTTCTGCAAGTGAGTGCCGCTTTCTGCCTTCTCTCCCCAGAGTGCCAACATCTGATCCGCTGCTGTTTGTCCAAGCACCCCATGGCCCGGCCAGTGCTGGAGCAGATCTTCTACCACCCTTGGGTGGTAGGTTGGGCGGGCATTTCTGATGCCTTGCCGCAGCCTCTGCAGGACCCAGTTCCCGTGTCCCACGCAGGACTGAGGGCCCAGGAAATAAAACAACCCGAAAGCCACTGCGGACTGGCAATTCTGGTCCTTGTTAGCAACTTCAGCTAAGGGAACCTCTTGGCAAAAGGGGTAATCACAGCGTTCCCTTCAGCCTTTGTCAAGCTTTTGATGCCTTTTCTCCAGGTTGTCCCTCGAAACCAGACTGGGGTGGAGCCTTCACCAGTCCCCCCAAATCGGTGAGAGGCAGAGACTACTCCCAGCCCCCTCAGAACTGGAGGAGGATGGAGATGATCCCTGGGCCCACAACACTAAAGGGAGATAAATACCCAGCCTCCCCAAAATAAGAGATTAATGGAGCTCAGAGTAGCCCCCTAGTGCAAGTGGGAAGGGGAGACTGCCAGCCCCCACAAAGAGGAGGGGAATTTTGCCTGTGCCAGCCCCGCAAATTGCAATGGGACAGAGAACAGCCCTGGCCTGGCAAAGGGCAAAGAGCGGTTGGGGGCTGCCAGGATGGTGACAACACTGGCACCCCCCAAATCAGAGGGGGACAAAGAGCCCGCACAGGCTTCCCAGGAGGAGAAAGGGGGCAGCAAATATCCCCTGTCCCCCTAAGTCGGAGGGGCACAGACACAACTCCCGTCCCCCCCATAGTGGAGGGGGACAGACACAAAAGGCCCCACAAAAAGAGCATGGGGAACCAAGACCTCTACCGGCTGCACAAAGGTAAGGAGGATGGAGAAACTCCCCATCTATCTTCGTTTTGGAAGACAGGTGTGTCATGGGGTGACTTTACCTTTAAGATAGCTTTGGGAGCTGGGAGGAAGTTGAAGCTGCGAGTGGCTGATGGGAGTCTTTTCTTGTGACCAATTATTGGTCATTTCTAAGAATTGACAGCAGTTTTGACCATTGAAAAGTGAGATCAACTTGTGAACACCATCTTAAGATGTAAAGCCAAGGCTCTCTTGTTCTCTTTGGTTTCTGGCTTCTGACGAGGTAACAGGCTCTGTCTCGGCCTCCTCCCCCCCTCTAGGCCGGACAAGGTCGAAGAGGGCGGGAGGGGAGAAACGGAGCCGGCCGTCCTGGCTTGGTTTGCAGTTTCTGCTGCTGGACTGAAACCTGACACCATGAACATCTGCAGCTTTCCAAGCCTTTAATTCTTTTACTACCTGGATGAGACTTGCAGGTTACTCCTTTTTCCCAGAGAGAGAGAGACAATCAACATGAAAAGACATCATAAAACCATCAAAGACCATGAAGGAAAGAGTTAAGTTTTAGATGAGGAAGAGAGAATAAGGAGATGCTTTAATTAAGCTGAAATATTTTTCTGTTAAAGCTATGGAGATGGACAATAGTGTCCTGAAAAAGAGCTCCTTTAATTGATGACAGAGTATATTGGGAGGAATGGAGTGTTCAAAGTGTGGATTTTGAACAAAAGGTGGAGTAATTGTGATGCTGTGAGATCCTGAAACAGAGGGAGAAGTAATAGTTGAAGGTTTGTGGCCTTTTGAGAGGCAAAGAGAAAACTTCTCTTTCCAGGGAGGCTCACAGAGACCGATGAAGAGAACTTTTGCCTTTGAATAACTCATCCTTAAAATGACATCCCTAGACTCATTGACCCATACACACCTCAGAGTGATGTGAAATGGGAGGAGTGAAGTGATGACAGGATTTCCGGGCAGCTGGCATCAGGAAAATAGAAAGCTGTAACAGAAATGGTTTTCTGTGAAAAACTCCATAGATTAGCAGAAGAAGACTTCTGTTTCTCTACAAAGACTGATGAAAAGACTCTAACAGGAATTGGGACTGATTTAAACACCGAAGTTCCAAGTTTTTTGTATCTATGTTGTCATGTAAACAAAGGAATATTTGGGTAGTGAGGGAGAAAGAGGTTTTCTGGAAGTTATTTTGGTTTTCTTATTCTTGTAGTTCTGTTAATAAACTTTCTTTATTGCTTTTAAGTTTTAAGCCTGTTTTGCTCTTCTTTTAATACATATTTCACAGCAAGAAATAAGTAAGTTTTCTAGTAATTTTTTAGCTGCTGCTTTAAAACCATGACATTTATTTGGTGCGTTGGCCGGGAAACGAAATTAGCAAATTTAAACCACTACATTGTGCTGCACCCCAGTGCCAGGCTTATCCTCTCTTTGCTCTGGCTGCTGCTTCCAAGCTGTCCTCTGTGATTTGGATTTGCAAGCCAGCTCTCTGACCAGCTTCCACTTTGCTTTGAAAATTCAGCACCATGTTGTGGGCTGAACAAGTCCCAGAGCTGGGGAGAAGGATCTGAGATGCAATTTGCATCCCAGAGTTGTTACGGTGGGGAAAATGTCACATCCCTCCTGTGCCTGCAGCTGCCAAGCTTGTTGCAAACATTGAAAACCTCTTCAGCTTCTCTCATTCTACCTAAATTTGATGACTGCTTTGATTTCACACCTCTTTCATGCAGGTTTTCCCTCTGTCCTTGGCTAGAATTGTCAGGCCTGAGAAATTTTGTTGAGCCTTGAGACAGCTCCCATCATCTCTCCCTGCTCCTAATGCTGCTTTGAATTCTCTTGGGATAAATCTGAGCATGAGGGAAACTGGGGGGACTTTAGTGAGAGGAAAAGTGAGGCACAGAGGCTGAAGTGCAAATGCAGAGTCTGCAGGGTCAGCACAGTCTGCAGTGTTGTGGGGATTTGGGCCATGCAAACAGATGTTTCTTCTCTGGGAATGGCTGATTCCTTCTGTGTGTCTCCTCCTGAAATTGCTGTGTACCAGGGCTGGTGCTGGAGCTGCAGCAGCACAAAGTTGCCAGGGAGCCGTGTGGGACCCAGTGGGAATCATTTCTTTGCTGCTTTTGATGAAAAGTTGTGACATGAATCTCAGTGTCAGGGTTAGGTTAATGCTGCTGCAGTGCCCACACACTGTGTCTGGAGACAGCTCAGGAGAAAATGAAGAAAAAACAGGATGAAATCCGATGTGCTACTGAACTCTATCAGAAAGTGCTTGGAGTGTAGTGTGTGAAGTGACTGGGGAGAGCTGGATAGAAGGGACAGCTCTGAGCAGTGTGTGGTACATCATGACATCCTTGCAGTGATCTTTGCACAGAGATGAAAAAGCATCAGTTTGCATGGCCTAGATCTCTGGGTGTGGAAATTCTGCATGTTGCACAAGCTGTGCTGAGCTCATCTGGTTCTGAAATATCTGAAATATCATCTCTGCACCTTAGGCAGGAAGAGCATCAGAGTGCTCATTGGGCTCTGCCCGGACCCTCAGAAGACTCTGGCAGCGAGCGGGAGCAATCTGCAGCCCGAAAATCTCCCTCTCCAGAGAGGTTTAAGCGCTCGCCATCTGCGGAGCTCGGCACGCGGTCTTTGCCAGCAGAGGAACCTCTCTTCAGCCCCCCCAGCGCCCGCGCGCGGGGTGCCGCCGCCGAGGAGTCCGGGCGCGGGTC